ACAGACTCGCCCTCAAACTGCTCAGGGCACTCAGGAGGCTCAACAACCTTAGTTCTCACGTGCAGCGACTGTGTGAACCCATTGCCTTTGCCATCATCCCTGTACACCAAATGACCTCCGTTAACTGTTGGAGATAAACCCGCATACCGACCTGAAATCCACCGTTCGGCTATTTCACCCTTGGCAGCTGCAACAGACGTGTAGGCCTTCACGCGCACCAGGCACTTAGCACCAAAAGGCGCTGCAAGCTTCGTGGCCATACCTAGTACCTCAGACCTTTGCTGTGCTGCAGCAGCTCGCATTGCACATGCCCACAAGGACGGCGGGAAATCAGCAGCTCGCAGTAGAGTTCGTGCGCGAGTCTTAAGCCACCTGATGCTGCGCTCTGCTGAGCCGTTTTGGGCTGGCGCATCACCCTCAGTTGTGGCGACCCTCACGTGCAAACCACTTGCGAGTGGCCTTGTTCATGAACTCACGCGACCTATCGGTATGCAAGCGCAAAACTGGAAGATTCAGTGCCCGCAAGTAGAGGTAAATTTCTTGAAGGGCTTCAAGAACGCAAGGAGACTTGTTGTCAAGCAGCGGAACACAGAACATGAGTCTGTCTGACTGCAGTGGCTCCTTGAGATCAGAGTACTCAAACTCCCAATCCCCTTCTTGAGGACCGCGATTCGGAAGTGCCTCCTCCTCGTCGTCAGCTTCCTCCTCCTGCGCCTCTTCTCCCTCTTTCTCCTCCTCAGCATCTTGGCTCTCGGCCTCCTCTTTCGAGGGGCTATAACCATCGTCCGGAGCGTGCAGCGGAGGCGGAAGAGGTGGGCCATCATCTTCACTAAGATTCTCTAAGATATCCCTCGCTTCTTCTTCAGTAAGCCCTACACCTGCACCCTCAGGGAAATCATCCAGCGGCTGCTCCTTGGAAAGATCTACCTCCTCTAAGGGATCTGGAATTTCGGGCATTCCGTGCAAACGAGGAAAAGGATACGAAGCAGCTAGAAAATACTTGAACTTTTTCGGCGCCTTGGACCTGCCTTCCGGGTCAACACCGGGCACCTTCAGAGGTCCACAGACATCAGCACACAGAGTGAACTGCGAGGGGTGAGTCACACCAACGTGGCGACGTCCTGAGGCGGCAGTTCCGAAACGGTTGGTGATTATTCTTAACAAGATCCCTCCAAGCCTGTTCATCTGCCTTTGTCTTGGCAATGCGGAACCACCTAGACCAGTTTCGGATGCTCATGCTTACAGCTTGGGCCAAACCAGGGGTCCATCGCGCTGAATCGTGGGACTTGCGATGCAAATGAGGCGCTCTGCTCTCAGCTTCAGGCTCTGCAGCAGCTGCCTGCACAGTGACACCATGCAAACCCTTCTCAAGGCTTAGGGTCTCGAGGTACTGCAAATCACCATAGTTTGTGCCTAAAGTCATAGGCCTACTTATCACATGCTCTAAATCCCCTCTGTAGACATGAACTTCAAACAACCCTGCTTCATCGGCATAGGAATTCCAAAGTCCAGTATTCCAAAAACTAGGGACCTGACCAAACAACGCATGCGAAGGAGGCACGTAGCGATCAATAAGCATCGGGTGCTCAAGCAGAAAACCAACCTCAAGCCTTGTAACTCCAGCTGGCGGCCTAGTCTTGCGACCGGCAGTCGCAACAGCATGCAACCAAATTTGTCGGCAAAGCAAAGCCGTCTCACGATCAACCTTCGCCCTTTGTGCTGCTGACAACTCCGGAAGGCCATATAAGTCCAATGGCCCGCGCACAGGTGGAACAACGCTATTCCCATGCAAACGTACAGCGCGGCGGCGCACCAAGAAGATGCGACACTTTGCCTTGGACAGCACAACAGACTAGAACGCGCCAAGCGGGAGCGCGAAGCACATCTTGGTCGAAAAAAGGTTTAGGACCTGGGGCTCCAGCGTACAGATGAACAATCCACTCTGGGGCATTGAGCAGTGCACGACGGCGACGCCGATTGAGATGCGTCAAACCTTTCAGGAGCTCCCATCCTGAAACCTGAGCAACATCCTCAACAAGTCCCTGCAAAGCTGCTTGGGGAACATCTGCCAAGAAAGGCGCGGCCTGCAACGCTAGTTGGGCTGAATTAGTGGATCCAAGGCTCACATAATCTTGCATGTGATCCCACCAGCTCTTTGACATCAAGGCTTTGACAGCTCTGATGCGAGAGGTACCTTCGGCCACATTCGCCTCCAGAGACTTCAAGTCCTCTAGCCGCTTTTCTTCTAGCTTGCTAATTAGCACCAAGGCTTCCGATTCCATGATCTCTGGACACCCACCTTTAACCCTCAAGCGAAAGGCACGACCCGAAGGAGCAATCAACCGGCATCGCGAGGCAGTCCAGTCCAAGCGATACCCAAGCTGCTGGATGACAGAACCCAGCGGCACGATGGTTTGGGCACTGGACGTGGGGGGCAACAGAAGAGTACCAGCAGTAGACAAACGCATAGCCGAAGTTTCCTTTCCGGCAGTGACACTACAACAGGCTGCGCACTGGCCCATTTAGCTTCGGAGCTTGCAGCGCGAAGGGCATGAGTAGCCCCACTGTTTACCAAAGCCAAAAAACTAGGACTACCATCTTCCAAAACCTGCCCAGGCTCAATGGCTGTGAGATGGATGGTCTTAATGCTTGGCTTAAGCTCCTCCTGTACTGCAGGCTTGTCTTCAATCGCAGGAGACTGCGCAGGAGCGGCTGGGTTGGATGCAGGAGGAAAGGCTTCGGAAGAACTGGCAGCTGCAAACATCATGCGCAAAAACGCTGTGAAGTCCTCTGCTCGGCCTGGGCTCGCGCCCGGCTTCACTGTAGTAGACGCCTGATCAGCCGTAGGCCTGTGGCCTGCAGCATTGTTGGTGTTGCCTCCACCTGACTGTCCTTTCCCTTTTGGGCTTCCTCCTCCAGCTACCGGGCAGTC